CATTTTGAGTTGTGGCCCATCAGCAAATGAAGGTCTCCAAAACTTTATTCCATCCATGTCATTAAGGTCGACTCTGAGAAGGCAGGTCTTCCCCAGTCATATTTTGAGTGACTTCCAGCCTGAGGGACTCATCTTCTGGCATTACGTCAGACATTGATTGCTTCAGGGCTATTCATAAAGTTTTCCAGTAATATATCAGTGTTGCGCTGCTATTCATAAAGTTTCCAGTAGCCAGTTCCTTGAGAAGTAAATGGCCTCTTTCTTCTTCCCAATCTGTCTTAGTCTGGAAGCTCTGCTGAAACCTGCCCACCATGGGCGACACTGCTGGTGTTTGAAATACTGGTGGCATATCTTGCAGCCTCACAGCAACATGCAAACCACCACAGTACGATAAACTGACAGACTGGTGATGGAAGAAATGTCCTTACCTTGTGTAAATGCTTACCTTGTAGGCATGTCTGTTTGCCTGAAGCCATAGGAGTGAGTCCAATTCCAGACCCAAAGGGTGATTAAGTGCAATAATACCCTTGGGGGTTTCACCAGTCTCTATCAGACCAGTAAATCTGGTCTTTTTTTTCACATTTTTGAGTTCCACATTTTTCTTGCACTCTGTCCAGCATCTCCTATACTGATTCCTCTTCAAGTGGTTTTTCAGTGGTAACCTAGCATCACCTAGTTCTGGTCTCAGGGTCATGTAAGCTGAGGTTCGCATGGCCAACCAGTCCCTTGGACTAATTTTTTCCATGTGTCTTTGATTTTCTTCATTATTCTTTATTCTGGATGAGGAGAGACCAATAATTGCATCTTAGAATGGCCACTCATAAGCTTTTAACACCTCAGTCTCTACTCACTGAAATATGATAGTAAAACAGTATTTTTGTGTAAAATGTTATACCAATTGAGCTTGATCCCCATGCCAGTGGTCCTGAGCCCCTGGGCTCAGGGACTTACTCCCTAAAGGTGATTGGCTCTGTGTCTTTTTTTTTTTTTTTAAGTTTGATTATGATGTGGCTAGGTGTGGATTTCTTTGAGTTTCTTCTACTTGGACTTGGTTGAGTTTCCTTGTCATGTAAATTAATGTATTTCATCAAAATTAGTAAGTTTTTACCCAGTATTTTTTGAAATATTCTTTCTGCCCTTTTTTTCTCTCCTCTCCTTCTGTTTATGTTGATATGCTTGATGGTGTCTCACAAATCCCTGAAGCTCTGTTCATTTTCATTCGTTCTTTTTTCTCTTTCTGTTCTTTAACCTGTATGATTTCCGTTATCTTCAAGTTCAGTGATCCTTTATTCTCCTTGTTCAAATCAGATGCTAAACTCCTTTAGTGAATTTTTCATTTCAATTATTATACTTTTCAACTCCAGAATTTTTGTTTCTTTTAAAAAAATTATTTCCTTATTGTTATCCTCTGTTTTGTGAGACATTGTTAACATATTTTCCTTTAGTTCTTGGTAGTCCTTTCGTTTTTGGACATATTTAAAGTGTAAATATTTTGTCTAGTCAGTCCAATGACAAGGCTTCCTCAAGAACAGTTTCTGTTAGTTGCTTTTTTTCTCCTGTATATGGGACATACTTTGCTGTTTTAAAGTATGCCACATGTTTTTGTGGTTGTTGTTGAAAACTGGACATTTTAAATAATACAGTGTGGCAACTCTGGAAATCTGATCCCCTCCTCCTGGCAGCCCTAACCTAGGAGGTACGAAGTAACAGGAATTGTACAAAAGAACCCCTGACTTCTATGGGGTGTATACCCTGTAACCCCTCAGGCCCTTCCTTCTAGCCAGAGGTGTGGCATCATTCAGGCCCATCATTCAAACCCCTCCTTAGTTTGTTTTTATTGCTACTTTTAATAGTAGTAGTTGTTGTTGTTATGTGCTGTCGAGTTAGACCCGACTCATAGTGACTCCTCCTTGGGTTTCCGAGGCAGTATCACTACGGAAGTAGAGTAGTAGTAGTAGTTTATTTGTTTCATGAGTTTTCTGGAGTTACTCTGTAAAGTCTGTGTTCTTTGTTATTTGTGGCCTTTTTAAATTTTCTGCTTTTGGTCAACTAATGAGATTTTCAGCATACCTGGAAGAAATAAATCTCCCTGTTTTGCTGAAGGGCTGTGTGCATGCAGGGAACACTTAAAATGCTTTGTCAGACAGTTTACAAATATGCCTTAGTCTTCACTTCTTGCTTGTGCAGAGCCTCCAAATCAACCAAAGGTGAGATTTTAGGGCCTTCTTGGGTCCTCCTTGAGCATGTTCACAACCCTGGACATGACCACAGTCCTATACTGTGCTGTGGCCTTCTAGATGCCCAAGAATGTGTGGGAGCTGTTCAAAACCTTGTGGGGATATCTCATTCTCCATCAGTTCTTTTTGAGCTTTTTGGTTAATCTGTTTTTTACTCCAACTGTTATCCAGTACCTCAAGCAACTGTGAATTCAACCTTCCTTTAAATTGTTTACAACAAACATCCTTCAGAGAAAAGGCTTTTTTCATTATGAAAACTCCAATTCAGGCCAAATACCAAAAGCCTGTTTTTGTTGTTCTGTGCCGTGGAGTTGGACCCAACTAAAAGCAACTCCTCCTTGGGTTTCTGAGGCAGTATCACTATGAAAGTAGATTGCCCAACCTTCCTTCTGAGGAGAAGCTGGTGGGTTTGAACTGCCAGCCTTCTGGTTTAGCAGTCAAGTGCCTTAGGTGCTATACAGGTGAGATCTTCCAGTGAAACAGCAGACAGGTCAAACAATTGTAGTTCTTTGGGAATAAGGCACTGAAAAACTCCCTCCGTGCTACTAGCTTTCACTGCAGTTGTGGGCTGTTAATTTTCTTTATTTATTTTTGTTTTGTTTTTATTTATTTTTTTTAATTGTGCTTTGGGTGCAAATTTACAAAGCAGATTTGTGTTTGCATTCAACAGTTCATGCACATTTGATTTCATGGCCCTGATTACCATCCCCAACCATAAAGAACTCTCCATCTCTCTCCTCCCTGTGACTACCCCCTCCCTGTGCCCTTCTTAACTATGCATTCCTGTCTTTCCAGCTTTCCTTCTATGTGAATGCTGCCCCTCTGATGTTTCATGTCTGATTGTTCTAAGGGGTGCATCACCTTGGGGTAGGTGTTCTGCGTGTAGGTCTTTCTGCTGTTGGGCTGAGAGCTAAGCCGTGGATGTGAGTCCATTTCTAGGTCCAAAGGGTAACCTGGGGCCATACTCTCAGGAGTTCCACAAGTCTCTATCCAAGCAGTAATTCTGGTCATTTTTGAGTTTTTGAATTTTTTTCCACATTTTTCCTCCCACTCTATCCAGCATCTCCACTTTTGAGCCCTTTCTGAGTGGTTGGCATTGGTAGCTGGGCACTACCTAGTTCTGGTCTCAGGGTTGTGAAGGCTGAGGTCCTCATGGTCCAACTTATCTTTGGACTAATTGTTTCCAGGTAACTTTGATTTTCTTCACTCTTCTTTGCTCCAGAAGAGAGGAAACCAATAGTTACATCTTAGATAGCCACTAGAAAGCTTGAAAGACCCCAGTTGCTGCTCACCAAAGTAGGTTGTATAACAAGATTTTTATATATTGTGTTGTGCCAGTTGAACATGATGTCCCCCAAAACTATGGTCCTGAGTCCCCAGGCCCAATGATTCTCTTTCTCAGGGTGTCTGGTTGTCTCTGAGAAGCTACTCCAACCCTGTCTTCTGTTGCTTCTGTAATGAATGTGGGTAATTTTCTAGCACAAGTGCATATGTACAGTTATCTTCAGCCAAATCTATCCTTGGTATGGGGTATATTTCTTTTTGTCTACCCCCACCTGCTCTTCTTACCTGTCTATGCATTTATCCATAGCCTGGTGTTTGGTGCCAGTGGTAATGTAGTACCATGCATGTAATAGAATTTTCCCCTGTTGTCTACATCTTTTATGCACTTTTCCGTGTCTTTCCTTTCCCCAGTGTCACCGTACTTTCCTTCTGAAAAATGGTACAACTATTGTAGAAAATTGTATGGCATTTCCCTAAAAAACTGAAAATAGAAATACCGTTTGATCCAGCAATTCCATTACCAGGAATATATCCAAAGGAGGTGAGAGACGGGACATGAACAGACATATGCATACCCATATTCATTGCAGTGGACTGTTAATTTTCAGGGCCATGACTCTTGAGAGCAAGGGATGGGATTACCTACTACTGTTGAGTCAGATCCAACTCATAGCAACCCCTCCTTGGGTTTCTGAGACAATATCACTATGGAAGTAGCTTGCCCAATCTTCCTTCTGAAGAGTGGCTAGTGGGTTTGAACTGCCAGCCTTCTGGTTAGCAATCAAGTGCCTTAAGCATTACACCACCAGAGCTCCTAGGGATGGGATTAGAACAAGTTAAAATACCACAAAACTCAGTGTTCTTACTGAGATTCAACAGTTTTTCTTAAATAAATACTTTCCAAGTTGCTTTAAGAATTTGCTTAATTTCTAGATTTCAGAAAAAGTTGATTCTGACAATTTTCATCAGTTTTCCTGAAGGAGAGAATTTTTAGAGGCCTTTACTATGCCTGTTTTTTTTTTT